CAAAGTTTTAAAAACAAAAGTCAAAAATTGTTTTTACATGTAATTAGGGAAAACATAAATACTAAATAAATACAAAGAAAAGAAGAAAAATGAAGAAACCCAGCACTAACACCCATTTTTTTTAATTACTTCAGGGGGAAAGGAGTCCAAGGCCTCTCCCCTTAAAGTATTATCTCAGAAACAAAGCTATCACTCTTTGCAGATTATATGATGATATACTTAGAGAATCCTAGAGAATCAAGTAAAAACTACTTGAAATAATAAACAATTTTGGCAAAGTTGCAGGATGTAAAATAAACCCATATAAATCATTGGCATTTCTATGTATTACCAACAAAGCCCAACAGCAAGAGATAGAAAGAGAAATTCCATTTAAAGTTACTGCAGACATTATAAAGTATTTAGAAGTCTGCCTACTGAAACAAACCCAGGAACTATATGAGCACAATTACAAAACACTTTTCACACAATTAAAGTCAGCTCTAAATAATTGGAAAAACATCAGTTACTTATGAGTAGGCTGAGCTAATATTACAAAAATGATAATTCTACCTAAGCTAATTTACTTATTCAGTGCCATACCAATCAAACTACCAAAAATTTTTTATAGAGTTGAAAAAATATAACAAGATTCATTTGGAAGACAAAAGGTCCAGAATATCAAGGAACTAATGAAAAAATGCAGGGGAAGGTGGCCTAGCATTCCAGATCTTAAATTGTATTATAAAGCAGCAATCATCAAAACACTTGGTACTGGCTAAGAAATAGAGTGGTGGATCAGTGGAATAGGTTAAGTATGCAAGACACAGTAGTCAATGACTACAGTAGCCTATTATTTGATAAACCCAAAGACCCCAGCTTCTGGGATAAGAACTCACTCTTTGAAAAAAACTGCTAGGAAAACTGGAAAAGAGTATGGCAGAAACTAGGCATAGATTAAAATCTCACACCATATACCAAAATAAAGTCAAAATGGGTTCATGATTTAGATATAAAGGCTGATACTGTAAGCAAACTGGAGAGAGCAAGGAATAGTTTACCTATCAGATTATGGAGAACAGAAGAATTCATGACCAAACAGGAGATAGAGAACATTACAAAAGCAGAGATAGAAACATTACAAAAGCAAAATGATAACTTTGATTAATTAAATTGAAAAGTTTTTGCACAAACAAAGCCAATGCAACCAAGATTGGAAGGAAAACAGAAAATTGGGAAATAATTTTTACAACCAGTGTCTCTGATAAGGGCCTCATTTCTAAAATATATAGAGAATTAAGTCAAATTTATAAGAATACAAGTCATTCCCCAATTGATAAATGGTCAAAGGATATGAACAGGCAGTTCTCAGATAAAGAAATTAAAGCCATCTATAGTCATGGAAAAATGCTCTAAATCACTATTTATTAGAGAAATGCAAATCAAACAACTCTCAGGTACCACATCACACCTATCAGATTGGCCAACATGACAAAACAAGAAAATGATAAATGTTGGAGAAGATGTGGGAAAATTGGAACACTAATGCGTTGTTGGTGGAGTTGTGAAATGATCCAACCATTTTGGAGACAATTTGGAACTATGCCCAAAGGGCTATAAAATGTGCATACCCTTTGACTCAGCAATAGTACTTCCAGGGCTATATCCTAAAGAGATTGTACAAATGGGAAAAGGACCCACATGTACAAAAATATTTATAGCAACTCTTTTTGTGGTGGCAAAGAATAGGAAATTCAGAGGATGCCCATCAATTGGGGAATGGCTAAGCAAGTTGTGGTATATGAATGTAATTGGATACCATTGTGCCATAAGAAATGATGAACAGGCTGACTTCAGAAAAACCTGGAAAGACTTGTATGATCTGACGCTGAGTGAAATGACCAGAACCCAGAGAATATTGTACACAATAACAGCCATGTTGTGTGATGACTAATATTGATAAACTTAATCCTTCTCAGCAACATAAGGATCTAAGACATCTCCAAAGACCTCTTGATGGAAAATGCTATCCACATCCAGAGAAAGAACTATGGAGTTTGAATGCAGATCGAAGCATACTATTTGCTATTTTTTTTCTTCTGTTGTGTTTTGTTTTCTCTTTCTGATGGTTCCTCCTATTCATTCTAATTCTTATTTACAACATCATGAACATGAAAATATGTTTAATAGGAATGTATATGTATAGCCTATATCAGATTGCACACTGTCTAAGGGAAGGAGATGGGAAGGGAGGGGGAGAAAAATTTAAAACTCAAAAGCTTATGGAAGTGATTGTTGATAATTCAAAATAAATTAATTTTTTAAAAAGCATTAACTCTCATTGCATGCCAGGAGTGAAGGAGTCAAGACATTAGAATGTAGTCAAAGACAAAATGAGCAAAGAAAGTAGTAGGTCAAGGCCAAATGAGGTCTTTCTGAAAATTTCTCCTTTTCAGAGTACTCAGTTAGAAAACGTTTCTTTTAATCACATGATTTACAGACAGAAACCAGTCACAGAACATTCACATATTCAAAAGTCTTTCCAAGGCATTTCCATTGCTTGACACAATTACTGTCTCAGCATTTCCACACAGGGATTTGCATCAGATAAGTACAGTGATGTAGTCAGTGCATGTGCCAGCCCCTAGTATCCACAGGGTACAAAACATTCTCACAATTAGTCTTAAGTCTTAATGAAATGATTTCTGTACTAGTAGACCTGTGGTCAAGGTCAGGTTGCCGATCACAGCACATTGAATTTGGACCAAACTTTGTGCTTTTGTATCTTGTTGATTTTTTCAAGAAGAATGTTTATTTATTCTCAAAGTACTTCTCCAAGATCCCATTGAGTTCTGTAAGTGACCCTTGATTCCTAAGGCTATGCCAACAGAAGAACTAGATTTTTGGGCTTGAAAGATACCTCCGTGCCCATGAATTCCAAACCATGACTAAAAAAAGAAAGTCTCTGTGATATAGTTGACAAGCAGTAATCTAGAGCTTGCTTGAAAACTTCCAGTGAGAGACAATCCAGTCACTGCCAAAGCATTTTACTTTTTAACCCAGATTTGATTGTTCATTTCCAGAAATAAAGCTTAAATTTGTTTCCTTGCTTCTCCTACACATTGTTAGTTCTATACTGACTGTTGATAATGAAAGAGTCTAATCTCCCTTCCACATGACGACCCTCCAGACATTTGAAGACAGAAAGACAGTAATCATGCCCCATCCCCATCTTATTCCCTACAAGCTAAATAATGTTTATTTCTTCAGTTAATTCTCATGTGCCATCATTTTGAGATTTTAATGTCTTTCAGATCTTGCTTTCCTTTTTCTGGACACTCTCAGTTAACTATGATCTTTGTAAGCTGTGACATCAAAATCAGAATACAGAACAGCTATGTGGTGCAATGAGTAAGATTAGTGTACCTAGTATCAGGTGAAACTTATTTCAAATGATTGCAGGCACTTACTACTTGTGTGATCCTGAACATGTCACTTAGCTGTTACCTCCCTCAGTTTCTTCATCTGTAAAATGAGGGTAATTGTAGCCCCTCCCTCCCCCAGTTTTTGTGACGATCTAGTGAGATAACATTTATTCCATTAAGGCAGCTGAGTGGCTCAGAGGATAGATCCCTGTACCTAGAGTCAGAATCTCACCTAGGACACTAACTAGCTGTATGACCTTGGGCAAATCACTTAACCTCTATTTGCTTTAATCCACTGAAGAAGGAAATGGCAAACTACTCTAGTATCTTTACCAAGAAAACCCCATGGAAAATGTGGTGTGTATGTCCCTCCCCTTTTTTTGTCTGCTTCCTATACTCATAATAACAAAGCTCTTGTTTGTTCCATTTTCCTGAGCACCAATTCCCTGGAAATCCCCAAACCTAATCTTTGTGATTTACCATGGCTAATCTCTTTCATCATCATCATCATCATCTTCATCATCATCATCATCATCATCATCATCATCATCATCATCATCATCTAACTACTGGCCATACAGTGATCAATTCCTCCAAACTTAGCTAAGCTTTTCCTCAGGGAAAGAATTCTGTCTTTTGGCTTCTACCCAAAGGTTTTTCAATGTTGTAAAACTTGCAAAACATTTGTTACTCTAGAATATTCAGCATGGTTATAAAACTATTTGGAGAAAAAAAGATCTCAATATTTCATTGTTATTGTTTTTCAGTTGTTTCAATTGTGTGTGACTTTTTCTGACTCCATTTGCAGTTTTCTTGGCAAAGATACTGGGATGGTTTATCATTTCCTTCCCCAGTTCATTTTACAGATGATGAAATTGAGGCCAACAGAATTAACTGACTTGACCAGGGTCGCACAGCTAATAAGGGTCTATGTCCAGATTCAAACTCATATCTTCCTGACTCCAGGCCTAGTGCTCTATCCACTGTACTCCCTAGCTGCCCAGAAACAATTTAATACGTGACTTTTGACTAAGTTCCTCACTTTAGTAGATATGTAGTTCGACCCATACACCAGAGGAATCCCCACTACAATGTACTCAATGAATGGTTGACTAGCTTCTACTTCAAGGAATGGGAAAACCGCTACTAGTCTACGAGCAAATTCCATTTTTCTAAATTCTCAGTTGTTAGCAAATTTCTCTTGACCTCAACATAAATTGATTTGTTTGTAATTTCAACATGTTGAACCACGGTTTGCACTCTGGGATAGAATAAAACAACCCTGTTCTACTTGACAGCCCCTCAAATACTTGAAGAGACCTGCCATATTCTATTTAAGCATTAAGACATTTTCAATAAGTTAGTTGCTTCTGGCACTTTAATGCCATCCTATTAGCATTTGTTAAGCATCTATTATGTTCCAGGCATTGTTAGAAAAGACAAAGATTAAAAAAAAAAGAAACTGTCCTTGCCCTCAAATAGTTGATAATCCTTGAGGTTTGGCAAGAAGGGCAAAATATACAGAAACAAAATGCAATCAAGCAGACAAAGAGATAAATTATAAAAGCAATCAAGCAGACCTTCTCTTGTGTTTACCTGCCAACAGCAAAGGGCTATCCAATGGACAGGCAAGGTGTGCCATTCATTTTTTTTTCACTGTTGAGAGATCAAGAGGAAGATCTTCATCATATTGGATTGACTGTATGTGACTGATTTAGAAGAAGGCAAAAGTCATACAAGATGGTCAGGCCTGGATTGGTAACTAGTTATGCCAGTGGAGAAAGTACCACATGCTTGAGATCACAGATCATCTGAAAATATAATATCAGAAACCAAAATTATTTCCAAAGAAGTAGCAAAAGCACAGAAGGTATAATTCATCACTAAAGCCAAACACAAGCTACCCAACGGAAGATGCAAGAAATATACCAGATCTAAAGTGATCTGTACAGATTGGTACAAGGAGAATGCAAATTCCAGGTCAAAACAGGCCTAAGCTCCTGTAAAAAGATGCCTCCCAAATGGGTTAGGGCAGAGAAATACTGTGTTTGCTCTGCAAGCTTTTTTTTTTTTTTTAGAAATGACATTCTAGGGGCAACCTTTATATGTGTTGGCCCAGAACTTCCATATGAGAAGGAAAAGCTAACCCATATGATGTAACAATAAAGACTTCCATGATATATGTCACCTTGGTTGAAACTGAAAAGGTCCCTTTCAGCAGAAAAAGTGCAAAAGTAAATGCCTATGCCTGCAGATTTTTATTTTAAAGGGGAGAAAATCCCAATATGCTCCTTTGTTTAGATGCTACCAAAAGGAAACCTGGATCTGAGGTGTATAAGGCACAAGTGAGAGAAAATGGAATTCTATGACAATGTGGCACATGAAAGCATAAGAGACACGTGAAAAAAGAAAGTCAGAATAAATCACATCTTCTCAAGTGTATTAAGGGCTCAAACTTGAAAGGCACAGATTTGGAACAGGGGTCCACTGGGTCTCCTTAAGTGCATGTTCCTGATTTGCACCTGTAATTGCCAATAGATGAAAAATCAGAGATGAAAATATAATAAAAGCAATACCTGCATTTGGTCTCCAGAGAACAGGAAAATTGTCACAGTTTGTGAAGCAAAGTCTTGGTGATAGGTTAGTAGGCCCACAGTTTCCCACAGAGAGGGTAAAAATGCTGAATAAATAGTATAACAGTCTGTCCTAAAAGAAAATGGGAGCATCAGCCTCATAGGTCTTCAACTGTGGGATGCCAGCCAAATGTCTTTTTTGTTTGTTTGTTTGTTTGTTTGTTTTTTTTCCTACACTCGTAGCTGAAAGTCTGGACAAAATGTTGAACACCATCCACATTTGCTGAAGATGAGAGAAAGATAGCATTATTTAGAATACATATTTAATGGCTTATGTTGAAGCTAATTTTAGTCACTGTGTGAGAAAGTTAATGCTCTCTGCCATATCTCTATATTTAATAAACTTGTATCTTCTATCCAAATTTTCCATTCTTAAAATGAACCAGCTAAAGAATGGTACTTCCCATGAAGGCTCAAAAACATATACGATGACGGCTTTGATAGTCAATCCATTTTGGATCGAAAGTGAGTCAAGAGGGCTGGGAATCTCATATTTATCTACCAAAGAGACTAAGCGGTAGTTAAATCAAATTTTGAGATATATCTACGATTTTGTTGGTATATAGAACTTCTTAGGAGGGAACTCTCCCAAGCAGGTCAATACTTGCTCTGCAACTTAGAATCCTATTTGTCTGGGGACATGGGTCCTATGGTTATAGAGCCAGGAATTAGAGATGGTACTTCAGCCTAGTTCTCCCTGTGTCTGAGGTTTATCTATTTATCTGTTACATCGCAATTCCCTTTCCATCACAGAATGACTCAATCAATGTGTACTGTGAAAAAAAGTAAGCATAGAAAATTTATCCTAACCTCTACTTGGAAGCAGCTAGGTAGAATCCTGGACTTAAAATCAGGAAGACTTGGGTTCAAATTTACCCTCAGAAACTTACTAGTCATGTGACCCAGGGTAAGTCATTTAACCTCTGTCTTCCTTTACTATTAAATGGGGATAATAGTAACCCCTACCTCCTAGGGTTGTTGTGAGGATAAAATAAGAAAATATTTTTAAAGCACTTAACAAAATATCTGTAATGTAATAGGTTCTTAATAAATGTTAAATCTGCATCTACTTGACTAGAGTCCCTCCTTTCATTCTGCTGCTGTACTGTGTACAGAATGTCTTTACCAAAGAGAAAGTAATATCCTTGAGTCCAAGAAAACACATACACATGCACACACGTATAGATGAAAGAAAGTCAATGTATCCTGATTATCTAACATAATGTCTTAGAGTACTTAAATTACGTTTCTCTATTTTAATCCAATTAAATTTAATTGTATGTATATGTGCATATATGAATAAATTTTCATTTATTTTCTTGGTGAATACTTAATAAATGCTTTGTTGATTGATTAGAAGACAACTTGGAAGGAAGAATTATAAGGTTTTAGTGAAAACATAAAATTCTTAGTGTAGGAAATTTAAACTAAAAATAAGCTCCAGCATGATTTTACTCCGTGTATGTTTATTTTTTAAACTTTCGAGCTTCTGCAAGTGAACGGATTGTCACGGCATCTCTCCAGCTGGGACTAGCCACAGCTCAGTTCCCACTTACCCTGAAGCTATACAGCTGCCTATTGACATTTCTCAGTGTGATGTTAAATGAGCCTATGGGAGCCCAAATGGTGCCATATATGTAACAAGAGTTCTAAGTTCAGCTAATGAAAAGAAATATTGGTTTAATGACTACTAGCCCAAGGAAGATTCTATTAAATGCTACATTTACTCCCAAATAATAGCACCACAGAGTTGTGCGATATCTTTTATACAAGGTGTTTGGACCTTATGCATGAGTAATGTTAATATAAACATAATTGTTGAAAGCTTATTTAAGGTGTCTTAGCAACCCTGTCTTCCACAGCAACTCACATTTTAACCATGGTTACTTTTTTAAAACAAGATGCCAATCATGCAGAAAATAATGATATCTCTGTTTACCCCAATTTTCTCTTGGCCAGTTTTATTTTTGGATTCAGAATTGCAGAACTGCCATAAGGTTGTCTGAAGATGGTTATTGCTTGCTTTATGGAATGGGTAAATTCCAGGAAAACTAGATAACAATTGAATATTTGTTTAAATTTTTTTCTATGGCAATCATTACAAAAATGAAAATATATTGATACAGGCAAAATCTCACTATGTGAACTTGAAAATTTTTGTTACAGACAGGGTTAAAAAATGACCTATTCTGTTGTATGCTCATCTTGTAATGTGTTATCAACATTTTGATGGATTGACAGCTGATTTTCTCCCTTAGATTATTCATCAATACTTTACAATATTTTCTTAGGATTATACTCCATGGAATTATCAAGTCTTTAATTCCAGACCCTTCTAATAGATTCTTAAGTTCATTGATAAAACTCCTCTTATTTTGGTAATTATAAAAACAGAGAATAATTGGGCTATGCAATCATATGTCAGAAAATAAATCAACCAAATAGGTATTGACTTTCAGGTTGAAAATTCCTATCATCTGTAGAAATGTTAGGTAAAATGATTCAATTATGCAATTTATAAATTACATATATTTGATTTTTTTGGCAATGTGCTTATTCCTTCTGAAGAAACATACTAAGACTCATCCATGTTTGACCATTCTGACACTTTCTTTCTTTAACCTTCCAAAGGAGGACTTCCACGACAGAAGAACTCTTTTAGATTTCAATGTTGTGTATGTACTAGTGGGCAGCAAGGGTTAGACAATGTTGACCCTTGCTCTCAAGTTTATTAGGAATGATATATGATATGATATGATAGCTATATTTAAATTATCTCATAGTCCATAAAAGAAGTCTCTATAGGAGGCAATTTAGAGTTCTGTATTGCTTTAATTTAATTTTTATCCCTCAAAAATATAGCTGGTTCCAAGAAAAGTCCGTTTCATTCTAGGGAGAAAAAGGGAGAGTAGTCAATTATTATGAGGCTGATGGTGAAGAGGAATAGAAAAGAAAAATAAACCTAACATTAGCAGTGAAAGTCACTTGTTTTCTTCTTTCTTTATATCATATCCCAGCAACTGTCAAAATACTCAAATAGATCTCGAGTGTTAATTTGGGAGTTCTCTCCAATGATGGAGATTGCAACCCATCCATGCTTGTCCTCTACCTATCCACTTATCATCCTTCGTTCTTGACATCTACCCTGTCCATCTTCCTTTCCTATAAAACAATTCCTTGATGATGTCTCTTTATTCTCATTCTTCTTTTGCATTCTTCATTGGTTATGAGTTCTCACAAGCTCACATCTGCAATGTGCCCCCCCATTGCCCTCTATGAAGCTTTTTTTTTTAATAGCAGTGGCATCTCAGCAACATTTGTTTTAAAATATGAGTAAAGAAAAGCAATTAGGCTGAAGGGCAATATACACATAGAGCTTCTGTATATGCAAAATTGGGGGAACTTTTCTTACATAGTCTGAAAAATAGTCTATGTCAGTTGTAAAGAAATGTTACTTATTGATAGAATGTGATCTTATAGTCAGGGAGCATTATATTTTTGTTTCTGTCTCAAACTTCAAACATAGTACCTGACACAAAGTAAGCACTTCATAAATGTGTATTGTTTGACTCTATTCTTTGCAAGTGAAATAACTGTTCATTTTTTTTAATTCAAAATCTCCTGATCTATAAGTATCTGTGACAATGTAGGAGCTTTACTTCTGAAGTCAAAATGAACATCTAGTAGATTGAAACTCAGTCAACGGGGTTTCCATTGTTGTCACAAACAATGAATTTCAACTTTAAAGTTCTATTGATTCTAGAAATTACATTGCTCACCCTTAAAACATCTAAACTTTTTTTTCTTTGTCAAAATTACTTATTTGGGCCACAAATGTTTCATGAGAAAAGCAAAATATTACAACACACAGCCCTTTTTTTTCCCCTTTTACTCTATTAAAAATATAACACTGTAGTCAGGGGGAAAATAATAATAAAATAGAAATGGCCTTCCTTCCCTAAGGGGATTTATTTTTTTTTTATTGATAGTACCAAACAAATGGCACTATGGATCTACTGTACATTCTGTCATTTACTTCCTTGCACACCCACCTTGCTACTATTTTATTCAAGGACACAAAAATATGAAGCTAAGAGTGCATAGTGCTAAAAGGCCAAGGGGAGGTGCTTGCTGATATACTCTGAGCCATGTGAATGCATTCTTAACGCTAAGTAGAATTCTCTAGACCTGCTTCTTAAGAATATGCAATGAGTTCCTCCATGAAATCTCCATTTGAGGAAGTACTCATGCCAGCTATGATCAGTTCAAACTTGGATCATCCTTCGACTCCTCAGACAATGCTTCCATCTTGCCTGACCCTATAGTTTTTATTCTCCTGTTTACATGCTATCTTCTCTCACTAGAATGTAGAATTGCGCCTTGAGGGCAAGGGCTGGCTTTCTTTGTATTTGCATTTGTATTCCCAGAATTTATCACAAGGCCTGACAAATAGTAAATGATTAAGCCATTCTCTGTCTGTCTCTCTCTCTTCCTCTGTCTCTCTCTCTCTGTCCTTCTATGTTCCCCTTTCTCTGTCTCTGTGTCTCTGTGTCTGCATCTGTCTGTCTTTCTCTCTCTCTCTTTCTTTCTTTCTTTCTCTCTTTCTTTCTCTCTCTCTTCCTTCCTTCCTTCCTTTCTTTCTTTCTTTCTTTCTTTCTTTCTCTCTTTCTTTCTTTCTCTCTTTCTCTCTTTCTTTCTCTCTTTCTTTCTCTCTTTCTCTCTTTCTTTCTCTCTTTCTTTCTCTCTTTCTTTCTCTCTTTCTTTCTCTCTTTCTTTCTCTCTCTCTTTCTTTCTTTCTTTCTTTCTTTCTTTCTTTCTTTCTTTCTTTCTTTCTTTCTTTCTTTCTTTCTTTCTTTCTTCCTTCCTTCCTTCCTTTCTTTCTTCCTTCCTTCCTTCCTTCCTTCCTTCCTTCCTCCTTCCTTCCTTCCTTCCTTCTTCCTTCCTTCCTTCCTTCCTTCCTTCCTTTCTTTCTTTCTTTCTTTCTTTCTTTCTTTCTTTCTTTCTTTCTTTCTTTCTTTCTTTCTTTCTTTCTTTCTTTCTTTCCTTCTTTCTCTCTTCCTCATATCCATTAACAATTAATGCCATAACCAGAGTAAGGACTAGAGATTTACCTAAGTGTACCACAATTTTGAGATTGCTACAATGCTTATATTAATTTGGCAGCATAGACACAATTGAGATCAACACTCAATAAGCTAAAATATGGTTTGGAAAGTCAAATAACATCTTAGCTACCACATTCTTGATGAATTCTTTTCAGGGCATTTAATCCTTATATCCCTATTCACATTAGCCTTCCCACAGGATTTGAGGACCAATTTCAGACATTTGCACTGAATACTGAAATTTTTAAATAGGGCACTGCTTTCAGAATATTTTGTGGAACCTTTAAATCAAGTATGTGCTATAATAATTGATGATTTAATGCAGATACATTAGGGTGAAAATGTTGGAAAATATGATTCAGGAGCAAGAAAAATGGGAGATAAATATCTTGTAAAATATTCAAAAGATCATCTACCTATCTATTTATCTACATGCGTACCTTTTTTTTTAAGAAGAGAGTTAGGAACTGTGTGTTCTAGCAAGCAATAAAGAGCATCATGAAAATGACATACATTGTACCTTACATAAGCAAATTGTATTCCTGACAGAAAAGTAATGTATGAATCAGTTGCCTGTGTGCATTCTGTTTCTGACTTTCTGAAGTTTAAATCCATTCACTTTCCTGGGTACATTCCTCATACTCATTACCTACTATATCCAGCTCTCCTTTGTGTGCTATCTTCTCCCATTAGAATGTAAGCTCCTTAAGGGCAGGGAATGTCTGTGTGTGTGTGTGTGTACATATACACACATACATGTATACATGTGTGTATGAATGTGTGTATGTATGCATATGTGTGTATGTATATGTATATGTACATATACATATATATACATGTATTTCCCCCAGTTCTTAGACTGTAATAAACACTTAATAACTGTTTGCTTCAATCCTTCCTTCCTTTCCAAAACTCTTAGAAGTAACTCACTCGAGCTTATGTGTCTAACACTTGTAAATAAAAGAAAGTTATAGCCTGTCTTCTCGATGACTTTGAAAACCTTGCCCTTCAGGCAGTACAGTTTGTGCACCAGCTCAAGCTGATGTTGTCTCAACAGTCGCTTTTTTTTTCTTTTTTCTTTTTCTTTTTTAACAGTTTATATCCTATGCGGCATTAATTTTTGTTATTGTTATAGTGAACAATGGGGCCCTGAGTCCAGAGAATGAAAGTTCAGCGTAATTGGGAGAAAATAATATATAAAGTGTATGGATTCTGTCTTTCTTTTGATAAATGAAATAATTGGTATTGTGGATAATATGCAAAGATATCATAAAATCATTCATGATACTAATATTATAGGTCACTTAATGGATATCCCAGTCATCTTTCTGGCAAGGAATATGAATTCAGTCCTTTTAAAGTCTTAACATATAGCGTTTCTCATGTGTTAGCCAATCCACACACAATAGTCATCTCAGTTAATTAACATATGTGTAAGGTAGTTATTAGGTCAGCTAGGTGCCTCAGTGTAAACAGGGCCAAGCCTGGAGTCAGAAAAATGCCTCTTCATGAATTTAAATCTTGCCTCAGACAGTTATTAGCTGTGTGACCCTGGGCAAGTCACCCTGTTTGGCTCAGTTTCCTCATCTGTAAAATGAGCTGTAGAAGGAAATGGACATATCTCTTCAATGAAAACCCCAAATGGGGTCACAGAGAGTCAGACGTTACTGAAATGACTCAACGACAAGGTATTTATCACCATAGCTTCCTCTTTTCCTGCTAAACAACATTTATTATTGATGAAGGGCTCCAAAATGATGTGAATTATCTTCTATAAAACTCTTGGAAGATGAATTGCTATTTTTCTACTCCTTACATGAAAGTATTAAGAAAAGTAACCGTAGTCAATTACCAAAGTGAGGACAATCATACAAAATGGAGCTAAGATTATAATTCTTAAACTTTGTAATCCTTTGCTTAACAAGTGAAGATTATGACCTATTAATTGATAAGTGGAAGTATTAAGATATGTAATAAACTAGAATGCCAGTTTCTCATTCAGTCGTTTTATTTTGTTTCCCTTGAAAGACAAGGAGGTGACTTTTTTGTTTTTTAATGGATAGGACATCTGCAAGGATGAAAAACAACAGATAGACACTATACATGTCATCTATGTACCACCTAAAACATGAAAAGCACAGAGTATATTGGGTGAATGTGCCACTGAAGATTGTGTCCTGGTAAGGAAACACAGATGTGTAAGTAAATGTTGGAGTTGCTGTGAAGGACATCATGGGAAGATCTACGTCAATGAAACTATGGAGCCTGCAAGACATCAATCAAGTACTATCTCTTCAACTATCGAGGCATGGCTATCTACTTAGTACATATGCTTTATACTTTCTAAAGAAAATAATATAAACAAGTGCTTAAACTAGTTGGAAAATCTAGATTAGAAGAAAGTGTTTAGAGATAAGCAAAGTGCCTAATGAGTTAAGAATGTGTGGATGGGAAGAGTGAGACAAAGACTTTGAGATCATGTTGAGTTTCTCTGTGAGATGGAGGAACTAATGATGCCTACAACTGTAACACTAGTTCACAGACATGGAGACTAAAGGTATTAGTGGGAGAGATGGCAAGCAAATATTGAGGTGAGTTCCAGAAGCTCTTGCAAATGAAAGTCAATGCAATTTTGTATTGTAGGGGCAGGATGGTGTAGTAAATAAAGGTCCAACCATAAATTCAAATCTTACTTCTAACACTTCTTATCTTATAGTAGCAACTAGTCATGTTGTACTCAATTTTCTAAGATGTTAAGCTTTAGAATCACTATAACGTACATTAGTTGAGGGAATTTCAGCAGCAGGTTAAATGCTTCAGTGAAATCACAGATGTGGACAAATGAAACTCAATTCAGTAAATATTTAAGCAGATACTCTGTACTATGTACTTGTCTATGCAAAAGACAAGCAAAGATAACAATAAGACAATGCCTACTCTCAAAGAGAGGAGGCACTGAACATCCTAGTTGGTATTTTTTTTTGACCAGGCAATTGGGGTTAAGTGACTTGCCCAGAGTCACACAGCTAGTGAGTGCTATGTGTCTGAGGCCAGATTTGGTCCTCCTGACTTCAGCACTAGTGTTCTATCCACTGCTGTACCTAGCTGCCCCCATAGTTGGTATTCTATGATACTCTTGTTTACTATATTAGCTTAGATAATAGAGTCAAAGACTGGAAAGAGTCTGTTAAGATTATGTAGTCCAAGTGTTCTTAATCTGGGTTCCAAGAACATTAAAAAAAAGATAGCTATTTTAATAAATTTGCTTTTTTATAATCATACACACACACACACACACACACACACATACATACACATTCTTTTAGATATTTTATTGTAGGAAGGGGTCCATAATACACAAATAATTAAGAACTCCTATTATAGTCTGATTTATGGATTTAAAAAATAATTCCTTTCAAAGGCCAGTTAGAGGAAAAGACAGGAATACTAACAAGGTTTCCTGCTCAATTCAACACTGTTTCTTTTATTCTGGGTTCTTCTCCAGAAGAATGAAATTTTTGTTCTCTTCAATGTTTACTAGTATTCAATGAAAATAGATCCGATTAGTACATGTGGGGTCCTGTGAAATTCAACATAATCGTTACATTGTTTTAATTTCCCCATTATATTAGGTATGGAAAGTATTATATTCATTCATGAAAACTGTCACCATTGCAGGTGTTATAAGAGAAAATACATACATTTTCCTTGCTTTATGCACATTTTATAGATGATTAATAACAATAATTTAAATGAGAATAGACTAGAAGAAGAAACTTGAGCTATATATCTTTCAGATTTTAGGTCATCTATAGTACAGGACAATCATGACAGATAAATCTAAATTCCCATTGACCACTGGGATAGGATATGTTAGAGTTAAGAGTAGAAAGCATAGCTTGTTTTGTTTTGATTGAAACTTCCTTCTCTAAAATAAAATAATACCAAGTCAACATTAAGCTTTTACCCTTTTATTTTTCATTGATCTTTTATAAATTATACTACTTGCCCGTGTATGCTTGACAACTAGAAAATGTTTGAAAGTGAGGAAAAACAAAACACTTGAATTGATTTGGTGTGGCCATTAATTACTTCAACACTTCAAGGATCTGTGATTTAATCAGCCTGGGTACTCTTTCAAATCGATAGATAGTCTTTGTAACTGTGGCAAACTGAAATAAATAAAACTAAATAAAATTGAATTGAATTAAAAACTTTATTCCCTAGATACCTTCACCTGAGAAATTTCTGTGAAATTCACTTGTCTGGGTTTCAGCTATATTCTCTTCTTAGACCATGAATTTGAAGGATTTATCTATTCTTCCCCCCACAGGAAGTTCATACTTTCCAAATCTTATCCTGTCAGTGTAGCCTTCAAAATTTAATTGACAAGTTTATGCTAACCTAGGAATTTATTCTTGGCCATTATTATTAAGTCTACCTTTTTCTCTTAAATTGGGGATTATTATTTTTGTTTTTAATCATTAAACTCTGGCAATCTTGTAAAATCTATGGCCTCCCTTTCAAGACAATGGTTTTAAATGCATAAAATAAAACAGACAGAACACAAGTAAAGAAAATATATTGAAATATTACAAGCAATAAAATTAGAACAAAGTAGAACAAATTCATATAACCTAGGTTAATAACTTCTTATAAATTTAAAGTATTAATCACATTGTTACTAAACTTACTAAGCTGTTATATTGCAATGAGTTGAATGACAGATATAAAAAGATGAATTTTGTACAAGGACATTTGGTTTTCATATGTATCTTCTTACATGATGAAGAAGGTGTTTTGCAGACCAAGCAAAATGCATGCAGTAGGAAAGGCAAGGCTTGCCACAATATCTTCTAATAAAATATAGGAAATGAGTTATTTCCAGAATTTTAGAGAATTTTAATCTCTAGTATTAAACATAATATGAATATTTAACTGAGAAATATATATATACACACACACACACACACACACGCACACACATACACACAGGACACATGTGTGTATATGCAAACATATACATATTCACATATGTACATATATACACATATGTACATACACATACATACATACATACATACACATATATCTATGTATTTAAGGATACAACTAGAAGATAGTGATACTAATTTCCAAGGTTATAGTAAACCTGGAACTGATTGATTTAAAAAAGAAACAAATAAAAAAGTACAAAGCTAACTAAGAATAGTAGTATTTGAAATGATAATTAGAGTCATCTCTGCTTCAAGTAAACTGAAAATTCCATAGAATATGAAAATCAACTAAAATATGCTAATATATACCACACTGAGTTAAATTCGGCTTGAATTAAATCCAGTTTCTTTTTTTCTTAATTTATTTTGATTTATCAGCAATCACTTCCATAAGCTTTTGAGTTTTAAATTTTTCTTTCCCTCCCTCTCCTCCCCTCCCTAAGAGGGCATACAATCTGATATAGGCTATACATATATATTTCTATTAAACATATTTGCACATTATTGATGAAAGTAAGAATTAGAACCAATAGGAGGAACCACCAGAAAGAGGAAACAAAACACAACAGAATAAGAAAAAAATAGCAAATAGTATGCTTCAATCTGCATTCAAACTCCATAGTTCTTTCTTTGGATGAAGATAGTATTTTCCATCATGAGGCCTTTGGAGATATCTGAGATTCTTGCATTGCTGAGAAGGGTAAATTCCATTAATATTAGTCATCACACAATGTGGCTGTTACTGTATTCTATATTCTCCTGGTTCTGCTCACTTCATTTAGGATCAGTCCATACAAGTTTTTCTAGGTTTTTTCTGAAGTCAGCCTGTACATGATTTCTTACAGCACAATAGTATTCCATTACATTCATATACCACAACTTGTTCAGCCATTCCCCAACTGATCGGCATTCTCTCAATTTCCAATTCTTTGCCACCACAAAAAAAGACCTGCTATAAATGTTTTTTGTATATGTGGGTCCTTTTCCCATTTGTATGATATCTTTGGGACACAACCCTAGAAATGCTATTGCTGGGCCAAAGGGTATGCACATTTTTATAGTCCTTTGGTTGTAGTTCCAAATTGTTCTCCAAAATGTTTGGATCACTTCACAACTCCACCAACAACCCATTAGGGTTCCAATTTTCCCACATCTTCTCCAACATTTATCATTTTCCTGTTTTGTCATGTTGGCCAATCTGATAGGTGTGATGTGGTACCTCAAAGTTGTTTTCATTTGCATTTCTCTAATCAATAGTGATTTAGAGCATTTTCTACTATGACTTTAGATGGCTTTAATTTCTTCATCTGAGAACTGCCTGTTCATATCCTTTGACCACTTATCAATTGGGGAATGACTTGTATTCTTATAAATTTGACTTAATTCTGCATATATTTTAGAAATGAGACCCTTATCAGAGAGACTGGTTGTAAAAATTCTTTCCCAATTTTCTACTTTCCTTCTAATCTTGGTTGCATTGGCTTTCTTTGTGCAAAAACTTTTCAATTTAATGTAATCAAAGTTATCCATTTTGCATCTATCTCCTGTTTGGTCTTGAATTCTTCTGTTCTCCATAAATCTGATAGGTGAACTATTCCTTGCTCTCCCAGTTTGCTCACAGTATCAGCCTTTACTTCTAAACCATGGGACCCATTTTGACTTTATTTTAGTATATGTTGTGAGGTTTTGGTCTATGCCTAGTTTCTGCCATACTCTTTTCCAGTTTTCCCAGCAGTTTTTGTCAAAGAATAAATTCTTATCCAAGAAGCTAGGTTCTTTGGATTTATCAAATAGTAGATTACTATAGTCATTGACTACTGTGCCTTGCATATTTAACCTCTTCCACTGATTCACCACTCTATTTCTTAGCCAGTGCCAAATAGTTTTGATTATTTCTACTTTATAATACAATTTAAGATGTGGAATGGCTAGGCCACCTTCCCCTGCATGTCTTTTCATTAGTTCCCTTGATATTCTGGACCTTTTGTTATTTCAAATGAATCTTGCTATTATTTTTTCTAGTTCTATAAAATATTTTTCTTAGTTTGATTGGTATGGTACTGAACAAGTAAATTAGCTTAGTTAAAATTGTAATTTTTATTGTATTAGCTGGGCCTACCCATGAGCAATTGATGTTTTTCCAATTGTTTAGATCTGACTTTATTTGTGTGGAAGGTGTTTTGTAATTGTGTTCATATAGCTCCTGGGTTTGTTTCAGTAGGTAGACTCCTAAATATTTTATAATGTCTATGGTAAATTTAAATGGAATTTCTCTATCTCTTGCTGTTGGGTTTTGTTGTTAATATATAGAAATGTTGATGATTTAAGTGGGTTTATTTTATATCCTGCAACATTGCCAAAGTTATTATTTCAAGTAGATTTTTTTTTACTTGATTCTCTAGGATTCTCTGTATCATCATATCATTGGCAAAGAGTGATAGGTTTGTTTCTTCTTTGCCTATTCTGATACCTTCAATTTCTTTTTCTTCTCTTATTGCTAAAGCTAACCTTTCCAGTTTGATATTGTCATTGGAAATGCTTCTAGCTTGTCCCCGTTACATATTATGCTATTTATTATTCTAAGGAAGACTCCATTCATACCTATGCTTTCTAGTGTTTTTAGTAGGAATGGGTGTTGTATTTTGTCAAAAACTTTTTCTGCATCTAGTGAGATGGTCATGTGGTTTCTGTTAGTTTTGGTGTTGATATGCTCAATTGTGCTGATAGTTTTCCTAATCTTGAACCAGCCCTGCATTCCTGGTATAAATCCTCCCTGGTCATAGTGTATTATTCTTGTGGCAGGTTGTTGTAACCTATTTCCAAATATTTTATTTAAAATTTTTGCATCTATATTCATCAGAGAAATTGGTCTATAATTTTCTTTCTCTGTTCTGACTCTTCCCAGTTTAGGTATCAGTACCATATCTGTATCATAGAAACAATTTGATAAGATTCCTTCTTCATCTATTTTTCCAAATAGTCTATATAGTATTGAAATTAATTGTTCTTTAAATGTTTGATAGAATTTGCTTGTAAGTCCATCTGGTCCTAGAGATTTTATCCTAGGGAGTTCATCAATGGGTTGTTCAATTTAATTTTCTGAGATGGGATTAAGTATTTTATTTCTTCTTCTGAAATCTGGGCAATTTATATTTTTGTAAATATGTATCCATTTCACTAAGATTGTCAAATTTATACATACAATTGGGTAAAATAGTTCCTAATTATTATTATTTTTTTAATTTCTTCTTCTTTGATGGTGGATTCACCATTTTTAATTTCGCTGCTAGTAATTTGGTTTGCTTCTTTCTTTTTTTAAAATTAAATTAACCAAAGGCTTATCTATTTTATTTTTTTTCATAGAACCAGCTCTTAGTTTTATTTATTAGTTCAATAGTTTTCTCAGTTTTAATTTACTTAATTTCTTCTTTGTTTTTCAGTATTTCTAATGTGGTTTTTAATTGAGGGTTTTTAATTTGCTCTTTTTCAATTTTTTTTTTAGTTGTATGCTTAATTCATCGATCTCCGCTTTCTCTATTGCATTCAGGTAAGCATTTAGAGATATAAAACTTTCCCTAAGATCTGCTTTCACTGCATCCCATAAGTTTTGGTATGTTGTCTCATTATTATCATTCTCTTGAATGAAGTTATTGATTGTTTCTATGATTTGTTGTTTGACTCAATCATTTTTTAGGATTAGATTATTTAGTTTCCAACTATTTATTAATGTATCTTTCCCTGGCCCTTTATTACATATAATTTTTATTGCATCATGATTTGAAAAGGATACATTTAATAGTTCTTCCTTTCTGCATTGGATTGTGAAGTTTTCATGCCCTAGGACATGGTCAATTTTTGTGCATGTGCCATGTACCACTGAGAAAAAATAATTCTTTTCATTCCTTTCTATCTTTACTCATTTTTCTCTGGAGATCTACCATACCTAACTTTTCTAATATTCTATTCACCTCCTTAACTTCTTTCTTATTTATTTTGTTGTTAGATTTACCTAGTTCAGAGAGGGAGAGGTTGAGGTCCCCCATTAGTATAGTTTTGCTGTCTATATCTTCCTGTAACTCCCTGAACTTCTCCTGTAAGAATTTGGATGCTATACCATTTGGTACATATATATTTAGTAATGATATTACTTCATTGTCTGTGGTGCCTTTTAGCAGGATGTAGTTTCCTTCTTTATCTCTTTTAATAATATCTATCTTTGCTTTTGCTTTGTCTGAAATCAGGATTGCTACTCCTGTTTTTTTTTTTTTTTCAGCTGAAACATAAAATATTCTTTTATCTTTACCCTGTGTGTGTTGCTCTGTTACAAATGTATTTCCTGTAAACAACACATTATAGGATTACATTTTTTTAAATTACATTCAGTTCCAAATGAAGAATAATTTCCTAAGCACCTACTTTATCTAAAGTATCGTATAAGATATTATAATTGGGTAAAATGGCATAGTTACTGCCCTCAAGGGGATCATGGTGGGTAGAAGATCTGCGGACTAAGTATTATACGTTGTCAAATTTTCTGGAGACAAACAAGGCATCAAGGCAAAATTTTATGAGGAAATAGGAGTCAGAGAGCATAGTTTAGGGAGGACCTTTTAGATGAAGTGGAAATAGAGTTACACTTAGGAGGAAGGGATAGACTTAAAGAAATGCAGATGCCAAGACAGTATATTCCAACCAGGAGAGACAAACATGAGCAGAGAAGTAGAAATGGAAGTAGGTAAGATGAGATTAAAGGAATATAAATTATCTACTTTGGCTGGGAGTTAGGGGATGTGAAGGAGAGTAATGTAATAAGGCAGATTTTTACAGTGCTATAAGATTGGCAAAGCCTCTTCACCAAAAACAGAGAAAAAAAACAGACAAAAAACAAACAATGTGTTTTGGTGCAGGCTTCATCATCCCTATTTCCAGATGATATGATTCCAGATACTTCGTGATCTCTGGAAAGGTTAATGATAACCCTGTAGAATAAATTATGAAAAATGGAATCAGAACCATAAATATTTTCAAGATTTAAGATTTTGTTAGAATCTCCTCTCCCCCATCTCCATGTACCATGGTGGCATAACGTTTATGAGTTATTATAGAGAAAAAAAGTAATAAGATGTAGTCAATCATTTTGTAATTAGAATTTTGCAATTACTTAGATTTTACTTAGATGAGACACTTTGTAAATCACTTGGTGATGCTTGTAATCTGGTAAGACATTTCAAAGTCATCTCTGACAAAGTCATCCAGAGTTCAGTGTTATTTCCATGAAAAGAGGGACCATCAGAATAGTGCTTATAGGAGACTTTGTTAAGTAACCCAGGCAACAAGCAATGGACAGTCAAATAAGTACACCTGAGTGGATGTGTATCCTAAAGAAGCAGAGGCCAGAGAGAGAATAGAAACTTAATTAATACACTAACATTTTCTCATTCAAAGACAATGGGTTTTTATACACGATGTATTATTATAAAATGAGCTGTATTTAGAGTCAGAATGTTTAGTTATGGCTTTGAATACACACACACACACACACACACACACACACACACACACACACACACTTCCATTTGCTGATTGCATGATCCTAGGAAAAATTACTTCCTCTCTTAGAGCTTCAAATTTCCCTTCTAGAAAATGAAGCTAATAATACACTGGCACTACCTAATTCACAGGGTGGTTGTAAGGGAGGATCTGGGGATACAAAAAGAGGTGAATTCAAGGAGTTTATTACCTATTAAAGGAGATAACATGAAAATAAATATAAACAAAACAAGATATATGCAAAATAAATAGGAAATCGTTAAGAGAGGGAAGGCCCTGGAATTAAGAAGGATTGGGGAAGGCTTCATGTAGAAGGTAGGAAAGACTTATAGGAAATCAGGGACATCAGTAGTCAAAGAAGAGGAGAGAGAATTCCAGGCATAAGGGCAGAGCCTTGTTTATAGAACAGTCAGGAGGCTAGTGTCACTGGATCAAAGACTATGTGTTGAAGAGTAAGGTGTAAGAAGATGGAAAAAAGGAGAGGGCTAAGTTATGAAAGGATTTGAATGCCAAACAGAACATTTTGTATTTACCCTGGAGGCAATTAGGAAGCCACTAGAGTTTATGGAGTAGGAGGATAATCTTATCACACTTGCACTTTTGGAAAATCATTTGAGTGTCTAGATGGCGTATGGATTCTAGTAGGGAAAGACTTGAGGCAGACAGACCTGCCAGCAATTATTGTATTAATCTAGGTATGAGGTGATGAGAGCCTGCACTAGAAATGTCAGAGTCAGAAGGTAGAATGGAATATATTAGATATTACAAAGATGAAACTGACAAACCTTGGCAACAGCTGGGATATGGGAGGAAGGGATGTGAGATAGTGAGGAATCCAAGATGACTCCTAGGTTGTGAGTCTAAGGGATTGAGAAAATGATGTTGTCCCCTCCGTAATAGGGAAGGGGTGAATAAGAAGGATTTATGGGGAAAGATAACAAGTTCTGCTTTAGACATATTAAATTAAGATGTCTAAGAACATCCAGTTCCAGATGTCTGAAAGATAGCTGAAAATGAGAAATTTGAGATCAGCAAGAAGATGCGAAAGGAAAGAAAGATTTGGGACTCCATAGCCTAGAAATAGTAATTAAATCCATAGGAGCTGATGATATCACCAAGTGAAGTAAAACAGAGATAAAAGAGAAGAGAGGCCAACACAGAAACCTGAGGGACACCTGTGGTTAGAGTGCGTCATCTGGAAAAGGATCAAGCAAAGGAACCAGAAGAAAAAAAAGGTCAGATAGGCAGAAGAAACCAGAGAGATGGACTGTCTAGAAAACCTGGAAGGAAAGTATGAAGTGATCTCAACCATCTAGTTGAAGAGAGTGATCACCATTATAAAGGGCTACAGAGAGGTCAAAAGAATGAAGATTAAGAAAAGGGCCTTGGATTTGACAACTAAGAGATCATTAGTAACTTTGGAGAGAGAAGTTTTGGTGAAATAAGGTCAGAAGCCAGAATATAAAGGGCTTAAAAAAAGTGTGAGAGTAAAGAATATGGAGGCACCTCTTGTAGGCCTGTTTGAGGAGTTTAGCTACAAAGGACAAAGGAGACATAGGACTATAGTTAGCAGGGATACAGGGATCAAGTGAGGGTGTATTTTACTTTTTCATGACAGGAGAAACATGGGTATGTTGGTAGGCAAAAGGAAATGAGCCAATAGAGAAGTAGAGATTAAACATAAGTGAAAAGATCAAGATTACAAAGGGAGGCATCTGCGTGTCTCTTTGTCTTCCTCCTTCCTTTCCGCTGCATTTCTTATATCCTTATATCCTACTTTGGATATATTGTTGTTATACTTTGTCCCTTTTCCTTATTTACTACTTTATGTTATATGTCCACTTAAAAAAATCTTTCCAGATGTATGTGATATGTGTGTGTATACACATACATACATACATACATACAAATATATACATGTATGAGCAGGAGAACTAGAAAAAATCAGGAAATAAGAATTTATAATAGCATATTATTGTAGAAAAATACTTTAAAAGTTGCATGAATGGTAAATTAACATAATCTTATGGAGCTTTTTTTTTCAGAGCCAAAATAACAGAGTAGCAAGTAGAAGTACACCTGAACTTTCCCCCACTCCCAGTGCCTTCAAAGACATTTCTAAAATTCACATGATGAAATCCTACTGAGGAAATTCATGGAAAAGATCTCACTGGGTTATTTTTCCAGCCTGGGATGACACAGAGAGACAGATAGAGAGGTCTGTGGACACTGAGAGTAAGAACTAGCTAAGAGCAAAAACACAGAGCATTATGGTGCAAGTAGAAGTTAGGTGTCAGGTCGAGATGTATAAGATCAAGCATAGTGAGGACCAAAATTATGAATGGTATCAGGTGCCATTTGGCAGCTCTGTTGTTTATGACCCATTTCCAGGTCTTACATCAAAAGCAGATTAAGGAGGGGACCAGCCCCTAGGGGTGAAATTTCATTGTAAGGAACAGTTTAGGGCTCCACTATGTATATTAAGCAAGGAATAGGTTCAAAAGCAAGTGGCAGTTTTGTGTGCCTCAGACCTCAGGAGTTCAGTTGGGTCTCAGTTTCCACTTCCAGCCCAGTGTGAAGACTGAAGAACAGAGGAAGCAGAGCAGGACTTCAGTCAAAAGATAGTCTTCCACTCTGAACCAGCACAGCCTTCCAGCTGACTAAGAAGGCTAAGTCGCTTCTGCTTTCTGTCCAGACCCTGAACAGCTGCATTGCGGCAGCTCCTTCTTTTCTTGCTTCCTGGCTATCTTGGTGGCAGATCTCTGGCTGAAGATCATCGTGAATCACTGGCAGGAAGATGGTGGCCCGAAGAGAATGAAAAAGTTGCTGGAGTCCATCAACTCAAGGCTCCAGCTGGCCATGAAAAGCTAGGCTACAAACAGATCCTGAAAATTGTAAGACAAGGCAAAGCCAAACTGGTCATCCTAGCCAACAACTGCCCAGCCTTGAGGAAATCAGAGATTGAGTATTATGCTATGCTGGCCAGAATTGGCATGG